AATGCCATATACGTAACCGCATGATTTGCTAAATGTCAGAAATTCCAAGCAATCTACTTGAAATGACAACTGTTAAGTCTGATGATGAAGAGGAGACTTCCCAAAGTCTGTTCTTACGGAAATAAGACTTCTTAATAGAAAGATTCTAGATATAAGAAGATATACAAATAAAACCTATAGCTTTATTTCTTGAAATTCTTGATAGCGAAGGGGGTCCTTTTCTCTCTACAATGGCAATAATATTTCTAATGTGACTGTCTCCCATTTAAGGCATTTATGGTCACAAGACAGTTCAAACCATGTTCAAAGTAAAAATGAGTAAATATGTAAATAAGATATTGCAGATATACAACATCCATAATTGATAGTCACTTTAATTTTTCTTTCACATATTTCACGTCAGGCACCTGAAAATCAAATCCAACTGTCCTGTTAAAACTGACTTTTCACTATTGTTCATGCTCTGTTCAGTGCCCTAACTCAATACTTGCGAAATGTTTATGCATGATACAGCTCATTGAAACCAAATGTACTTACCAAAAAAAGGCACACAAGGAGGATTAATGGACCTGAGTTTTGCCAAGTATTTCTTATAATGATCCTCACTCAGCTCATAAGCTTCTTCTAAAATCTTCTTCTGGCGACTTGGAATTTGCTAGAAGGAGAGATGAACCAGGTTGTTTGGAAAGACAAGGTAAAGGTGTAGCCCAGCAACAGTACTTAAAGTAATGCTTTCCCACTGATATTTAAGTCGGTGAACCATGAAGACACTGCCTGACTACCTCAGGATCTTGCTACCTTTTTCTGCCTTTCTTATGTGAGGGCTGATTTCTTGCTTCTGAAACCAATGAAAAACCCCTCTCTATTACACCCCAACTGATTCATTTGTTGGGGGATTTACCCTCCCTGCTCCTTCTCTGAAGAACATGCTTACTCAAAAGACAGGCTTTCTGCACTACACTTCCATACCAAAAATGGAAAACATTTCACTGTACCTCAAATGTGTGATCCAACCTATACACTGCTGCAGAGTTCATAGCACTGACAATCTCTAGGACTCCATTAAAGTTGTTTAGCTCTTGAAATACTTGCAGGATCTCAATTATCCGGCTCACTACAATTACTCTTTCCTCCAGGTTTTCTGTTTCTACAATGCATCTAAACACAAAAGAACATTTGATTTTGTATTAAAGTGTTGATGAGTTTTCCAAAAATCAAAAATTAAGTCATAACACAAACATAAAAAGTTTATCAAATTACATGACACAGTTTGGAAAACTTGTAGAGAAGAAATATTTGAAAATATTCTAAGAATAAAAAGCTGAGACTATGGTAAAATTCTCACAGGGACCAGCTGCAGCATCTAAACATGACTTAAAACTCGAATTCTCTCAGAACAGATTTTCACAGTATACTTCTGAATGGACTGTACATGTCCAGAGTAGATGCAGATTCAGGAAAGTTACTTACTTTTCAAACCACAAAGTGAGGTTAGTTGTATGCCTTATCATTTTGAGAAGGTTGGGAGAATTAATTTCTTTATCTTCCTTTGTCCACACACTCCCAACTAGTTCAGATGGCTGCACAGCTCTAGAAAAGTAGATGCATGTGTCAAAAAAAATGTAATTAAAAGCCAGAAAGAAGATATTATTTTCCCAAATCTCTCTATGTCCAGTGAATTTTGAATTAATATTTGGAAATAAATTTTTAAGGTATGACTTCTCTTGCATGATGTTAGGATGCTTACATGACTAAGTGACTAGTATTTCTACACTTCTTTTTTAGAGGGTATTTCTTAATTTAGATGACTATTAATCACCTCTGCTCATCTGAATGAGGAATGAAGTCTACATTTCATTCACAGTAAAAGAATGTGAGCTTCCAACACCCAAACAACCTCTCACAGACAGCTGGAGAGATCTGAACCAGTCCACAATTTCCTTCACAAACTAGGATATGAAGAAAACTAATTTAATTAATGTTCATACTTCTCAAAAGTTGATCTACTTGGAAAATACCAAGAGAAACCTGCATGACAATGCAATTAACAGTATCCATTGGCCATATCTACGGCACATTAACTGAGGGGGAGGACAAGACAAATACTGGGTTTTAGCATTTTTTTCTGACAAAACAGCAATCAATACACAGCACTGGTAAAGTCCCTTGACCTACCGTGGGGCTTCACATCAGGGGCCCGCAGAAACAATTTCATGCTGGAGAATATTTTGGTTTGTGTCATGTGTTTTTCAATGGAGGAAAGTTACCTGTAAAAATCTGACTCAAGTAAAGTAAGCTGCCGAGCAATTTCAATTGGATGCAAAGTGAGCAAGTCAAAAGTCTCTGTGTGTCCTGGTTTGCTTATGTGCCATTCAATTGCTGGAGGAGGGCTCTCAAAAGTAATGTTGTGACTTTGCCCAATGGCTTGTGCCTGCTTTTTCCGGTTGATTATCTTTGTGATAGATTCAACCCATTTCTTCATCGCTTTGCCTGGCACACAGAGAAAAGATTACTATTTAGTTACTCTTAAAAACATTGCATTATTAAAATTACTATTTGCTTACTCTTAATAAACTTAGAATCACAGAATGGTTTGGGTTGGAAAAGACCTTAAGATCATCTAGTTCCACCCCCCCTGCCATGAGCAGGGACACCTCGCACTAAACCATGTGGCCCAAGGCTCTGTCCAACCTGGCCTTGCACACCTCCAGGGTTGGAGCATTCACAACTTCCTTGGGCAACTTATTCCAGTGCATCACCACCCTCACTGCAAAGAAATTCTTCATTACATCTAATCTAAACTTCCCCT